CATTTGAAACAACGCTACATGTATTCAACATGGATGAAATGAGGAGAGACAAAGGCTTACAAATTTTAGTAGGCAGCAAATATCCCATCTATTTTTGATGTTTTGATGATGATGCTTATAAACATCGAAATTGTTTATTAATTGAAGATTCTTCATAAGATAAGAGTTATTCCAATTCACTGATACTTGACCAAGTTCTTTTGATTTGGATTTTTATGAAGAGACAAAGGTAAAAAGACAGTAAAATCTCCTACCGTAAACAGATAAAAAGCATCTTGCTTGGTACTCACCTGGAAGAAAAAGAAAAAAAATAGATTAATTTTAGTAGTAAGTTAAACAGAAATGAAAAAACAACAAATGGACACACACACACATATATATATATATATATATTAATAATAATCAAGAAGAAAACCTTAAAGATTCATTTCGGTTATAATTCATTTCGTGAATATCTATATATTCATCTCTTCAGATCAAAATCTCTTAGTAAAAATTCCTAGCTTTGGGTGAAATGCTTAATATAAAAAGAATCGCCTGAGGATACCGTAAGGTTGAAACCAAGGTAGTGGATTCAACTAATCTGATTTTTAAAGGTATTAGGTTGGTGCAAAAATAATGACGTAATAATGTCATTTTTTGACGTATTACGTCATTATTTTTGCACCAACCTAATAACAGCTTTACCTGTTATTTTTACTTTTATTTAATTTTTTTCACACGTTTATTGAGCACTTTTCAATACTACTGTTTCCTGATCTGATTCAAGTCTGACCATTAACCGTTTACGTATATATATATATATATATATATATATATATATATATATTAGTATTAGTAGTAATCTTATAGGTATAAGAAACCACACTCGCTCGGAAAACCTTCGGTGACTTGATTTGCAAATAATCAAACCAATACCAAAGGGAAAAAAGGTATAAGAATAGAAAGAACCAAGAACATGTACGTTAGCCGAAAATAATCGTCTAGCATGCAAGTCTAAAGCCCAAAGAAAAAAAGCCCGATACGAGTAAGCAAAATAACTAAAAAAAAGTGCTCAATACAGTAAGTAGAGCAGACCTAGTTAAACCTAGAGAGCCAGACAAACCTACCAAGGTTTCACCTAATCGGATCGTCAGGGAAGGCGGGAGTGCCACTTGTACGCAATGGGCTACAGAGAGCGTAAGGGAAAAGCCTGGGTATAGTGGGGGAGGAAAGGACAAAAAGGAGGGGGATCAAGGCAACAGAAGACATTTAAATTTTTGAAGATTATGCGGAAGCAAGTAAGAGGGAAGTTGTTCCATTGTCAGGAAGTGTAGAGTAGCTGTTGGAGTAGAAAAGGCGGTTACATTTAACTGTTTCGACAGTAAAAGTGTGGGACCGAAATGCCAACCAAGCAGCACACTTAAATTCATGCACTCGGGGCACCAGTGAAAATAGCTCGTCAGAGCAACTGACATGAAAATATTTATAGAAAAAGACAAAGGGAAGCCACATTACGTCGGTGAGAAAGTGACTGGAGTCGAGACTCCAACTCAGGAACGATCACATTGCATATCCGTCTTTGGATTTTGTACAGAACCTCAAGATGAACGTCGCGGTCACCAGACCATATACGACAGCAGTATTTCATGCATGGACGAATGGTAGATTTGTAGATTTGAAGGATGGATTCAGACGAGAAAAACCTTCTGGCGCGCAAAGAGAACCAATTCTTCTTGCAGTAGATGCAGCAATTGATTCAATGTAGTTGTTTCACCTCAGGTCAGAAGAGAACGTGAGACCGTGACGGCGCAATGAGGCGCTCTCGTGAAGTTGAGGGATATTTCTCTATGGTGAGTAAATGATAGTTTCGTTTTGGATGCATTAAAATTCACAAGCCATTTCCTGCACCAGTCAACCACAATTTGGAGGTCGTTTTCGAGAGCAACGGCCAGCTTAACTTTCTCAGCAATGCCGGATTTACTATTGAGACAGGAGTAAACGGTAGTGTCGTCTGCGTAGATGCCTTCTTGAGAACTGGTGACGTCATTGAAGATCATTAATGAAGATCAGAAACCGTGTAGGACCCAGGATAGAGCCCGGAGGAACACTATATATCCGAAAGCAAAAAAAAAAAAAAAAAAAGAAAGGTAATAAGGAGATAGGAAAATGATGAAAAGGAGAAATCACCACAACCTTTGACAAATTTTATATATAAATATATATATGTAAGCAAATATATGGATATAGATCCGACAGTATGAAGAAAAATATACTGAAAAAACAAACAAAAATCCTAATATGCGATGATGCTGTTTTAATGTTTAATGTCAACGTCGGACGTTTCGGTCTAATAGACCATCTTCAGGACATATTCATAAAACATAATTAACATAGACCATATATAATTCAACATGAAAAAGACGATGGACATAAAATCAATAGTTATCTGTTTGGATTGGTATTGCTTTTATGTCAATCGTTTTATATGGTGAACTTTATGCCAATCCATTGTACAACAAGAAAATATCGTACGGAGTCTATGAACACTAAAAATATGGAGGACGAGGCTTTCTCTTTCTCTTTCTATCGTATTCTCTGCAAAGAGAGAAACTCAGACGAGGCTATACCTCCGGTCAGAGAGAAACCCAGACGAGGCTATACCTCCGGGCAGAGGGGAACTCAGACGAGACTATGCCTCCGGGCAGAGTCTCGTTTGGGGAGGTAGACAAACCTGATCCCCGTATATACGGGAGCTACGGGCAATTTTGGCTCGAGCATACAGGCTTGAAACGCCCCACTTTAAAACTGGTCTTGTGCCATATCTTGCCTTGTGAGAAAGTTGGTAAATGGAGAGCGCTAAAATTATGTAAAATGCTTGGAAAATCTCAGTGTTTCATTGTAAAGCAATCACTCCAGATATTATGACGTTTTTTACGAGGGTAAGCCAAAATTGTCACAGTGCCTTCTGTCCATGCGTGCGTATAGTTGGTACTATTGCGGTCACGTGAGAGAAGTTTCAGCTTGATCGCGCCGGTTTTCTTTTTGTTGTTACAGTGTAAACATGGCCGCTTCGCTAGCAGTGTGCACCAAAGAGAAACAAGGAACAGTGATCCGAATCTACAGAGAACATGCTAACTACCGCTAGTCTGCCATAACCATCTCTCAAGTTTTTTTTTAATCTTCTCGTCAGTGGCGGAAGTTGAAGGACATCCTGCCCTTTCTTCGTGTGATATGCTTGTCCGGCCACTTTTAAAATACTCGATCTACACATACAAACTTCTTCACAGTAGTGCATTATCGCACCCGAGGAATTTCAGCCCCTAACAAACCTTCTGACCGATCTTTGTGCCTCCTTGGTGAACACTGCTAGCGAAGCGGTCATGTTTACACTGTAACAGCAGCAAGAGAACTGGTGCAATCAAGCTCAAATTTCGATTACGTGACCTCAATAGAACAATCTATGAGCAATTTTTGAAGATTGAAGAGTGAAAAGAAACTGTTATCATAGAACTTACGGTTACATTTAGCCAACTCAACTGTATATCGATGCGAGCTTGTTGTCAGTCTAGTACTACGCTTAAATTCATAAAGTCTAGGTACCCGGCTGTAGAGGTCATCCGAACAATTACCTTAAAAGTATTTAGAGAACAGGTACAGGGCAGCAACTTTACGGCGGTGAGAAAGTGACTAAAACCGAAAAGCAAGATTAGGACCAATAATATTGCTGTTTCTTTTTTGGATTTTATCAAGAATTTTTAAATATATAGCTGGAGCACAAGGCCATACGTGACATTGATATTCTAAGCATGGACAAATGGTAGACTTATAGATATGTAAGATAGATTCTGAAGAGAAAGATTGTCTCGCACAATTCAGTGAACCAACATTCTTAGCAGCTGACCTTGCAATGAATTAAACATAGTCTTCCCACTTTGTGCCAGCCGAGAATGTTAAACCGAGAACCAGCGACAAATCACTCTCTCCTGGAGGTTAGCATCAGCCATGCTGATGGAAGGCAGAAAAGGGGTCCTTCAACCTTTCAGCATCGATAGCCGTTTAGCTATCTGTACATGAGGAAAAATGAGAAGAAAGAAATTTAGAAAGAGATTTAGTAATACAACTATTAGTAATTAACCCATAGCTGAGGGTATAATAGGTGGATTCGTATCTAATCAGAATTTGATAGGCAAACAAGAAATTATGTGGATATAAAGTTGGAGATCAATTCTATATTACAATCAATATATAAATTGATCACTCACTTTGTGACCACGGTAGTTTTTATAAATTTATATTCCAGAGAATGTAAATAAATCTAAGGGACATGTCTGTGTAGTTAATCACTATTTCATTGATTAATTCATTTTTTAAGGTTTATCAACCCTTTGCAGGTTATTTAAAGTCAGAAAATATTTTTTGATTGTAATAATTAGTTCTTTTGAGATAATAGTGATTTAGAGATATAAGTATTACTAATTAACCCATTGCTGGCGAGAGAAGCGGCGGAGTCATACTTTTCCTAAAGGCATTTTGAACGTTAATGAATATAACAAACCCAACTGAAATTGTAACTAGGCTCTCTGATTAATGATCCCGAGCACTTAACCATTATACCACCTGCACATCCAAGTATACAGCATCTGGTATTTCCAAGCTGTCACCTACCTAAGTAGAGACCAGTCTCGACGTTGCTTAACTTCGATGGAACCGGTGTTTCAATGTGATGTGGCAGTAAACCAGGATGGTATAAAAGCCCAGGGAAAAAAGGAAAGGAAAGGAAAAGGAAGAAGGAGAAAACAGAAAAGAGGATGGTAAAAAGAACAAGAGAAGAAGAAAGAAGATAAAAAGGAAGAAGGAGGAAAAAGAATGAGGAATGTAAAAAAGAGAACGAAAAAAATAAGAATGAGAAACGAGAAAGAAAAGTTAAACATGACAAGGATAAATGAAAAGAAAGAAAAAAGAAGAAAGTGAAAGAAAGGTTATAGTGAAAAATAAAAAAAAAAACAATCGAGAAATGATTAAAAATAGGAGAAAATGAAAAAAAGATGAAAAGAAAAGATCAAAAGCAAAAAAGAAAGAAGAGAAAAGCAAAAAGAATAAAAAAAGGTAAGAGGGAAACAAAAAATAAGAGGGAAACAAAAAGAAACAAAAAAGAAGAGGAAAAGAAAAAGAAGAGGAAAAGAAAAAGAAAAGGAAAAGAAAAAGAAGGAAAATAAAAGAAGAGGAAAAGAAAAAGAAGAGGAAAAGAAAAAGAAAGGAAAATAAAAGAAGAGGAAAAGAAAAGAAGGAAAAAAAAGAAAAAAATAAAAGAAGAGGAAAATAAAAAGAGAGGAAAAAAAAAAAAAGAAAATAAAAGAGGAAAAGAAAAAGAAGAGGAAAAGAAAAAAGAAACAAAAAGAAGAGGAAAAGAAAAATAAGAGGAAAAGAAAAAGAAAAGAAAAAAGAAACAAAAAGAAGAGGTAAAGCAAAAGAAGCAAAAAAGAAGAGGAAAAGAAAAAGAAGAGGAAAAAAAAGAGGAAAAGAAAAAGAAGCAAAAACGAAGCAAACAAAAAAGAAACAAAAAGAGAGAAACAAAAAGAATTAAAAAAAGAAGAAGTAAAAAAGAAGTAAAACAAAATGAAGCCAAAAGGATGAAACAAAAAGAAGTGGAAAACAAAAAATAAAAAGAAAAAAAGGAAAAAAAAAGCACGAAACAAAAACCTTGCCAATTGAAAATAACCAACTAGCAACTTCTGTCTGGGGCCATGTAGTCTGGGCAGCACACGGCCTCTATATACCATCACCCAGGCCTGCGCCTTGGAGAGGTCACTCCAGTCTCACTACCAAAGGACTGAATTTCGATCTAACAGGGCACTACCATTATCTCACAAGATAAACTGATGCCTACCAATTCCGGTCCATTATAGTCACCTCTAATGACTTCTGGAAAAGCAAATGAGATGATCTCACAGCTGTCGTGTATCTGAAGAGAGGCAGGATTCTAAAATCTGCCATATCACAACATTTAATTTCATTAGTAATTCTCGGAGAGACATGCTTAGTCCCAAGTTTCATTTGAAATGATAACAACAGGGTCAAAATATCTCACTCTAAAGAGACAAAACAAACAAAAAAAATATTCATTCGTGAATTTTAGGAAAAGAAGGTGATAACGTTACCCATCATTACGGCAGCGTTTGGAAGAGTCTCCAAGATCTCTGTGAAGAGAATGGAACATTTGGAAATCCGAGGAAGTTCAATACAATCCAGACAGCTTCTTTTATGTGCCGTGTCTCTTCAGGACGCGAACAGATACGGGTTGGGTAATAGATAGCGGCTCGGAACGAGAAATCTGCAAAGCCGAGTTCGAATTCCACTCGAGTTGGTTATATTCACTTACGCACAAATACTCTTGAAAAGGTATGAATCCATCTGTTCTCCTCCTAGCTATGGGTTAAATACTAGAACTTGAACCTCGAAAAAATCGTTGCTATCTCACAGAATTTACTGACTCGCAAAAAAAAAAAAGAAAATAATAATTATTATGACAATGTCCAAAATGTGTTTCGGCTTTAAATAACCCACTAAGTGTTGATAAACCGTAAAAAAAACAATCAATCAATTCAGGATGTGGCCGATCGTGGTTCTCCACAACCTCCTACCCCTTGTAGCACTTAGAAACATTTTTTCCTTTGGCAAGCTTCCCGCTTCCCCGTTCCTCCATTCATTCACACAATCTCGTCAGTTAGGGGGTGGGGCATTACCTTTCTCGGTCCCTTTTGCCTTCGATATCTCTTGTGAGTGTCAAATTTTCCAAGCACTCCTTCCTCGTTTCAGCTGTCTCTTTTTTTTTTGCGAAATATAAGTACCTTTTGTGTTTTTATTTTTTTTAAGACTTCCTCGTGGCTTACGAGCATATTATCCTCAGCATCTTTCTGTAGAACCACATCTCCGCTGCTTCAAGTCTCTTCTTCATCAGTCAGGATATTGTTATGTAGGAGGACTGATATTACATAGCAGTTCAGCACACCCTACTTTTTCCTAACAAAAAATTCCTTTTTCTGATTATTTTGCTTAGCTTTTGGAAGGCATCTTTTGATGCTCCAATGTATGTTCGTATTTCGGTGTCGCATTTTCTTACCTATATTAAACCACTTCCAAGCTATTTAAATTTAAGCATATGTTTGATGTTGACATCTACAATTGTGAGCATTAAAAAAAATCAGTTAGAATAACGAGCAGAGTCCTAGAGGATTACTGATACTTGATCTCCAGTGAATAATAACTGCTAGTGTAATACAGATAGTAGAAGAAAAAGAAGAAAGCGAATAATAATAATAATTTAGAAATCAAAACAATATGACATCTTAAGAGGACAATATTACCTGTTTTTATTAGGGATTTGAGAATGATATGAAAATGAATAAAGAAATTTGTGGATCGTATTTCTGGTGACACTAATATGAACCCATCACCTCCCTCATCTATGGGTTACATAGTAGGACTCATATCTGGAAAAATCATTGTTATTCCCCAAAATATGTTGCAATATTCACAAGCAAAAATAAAGAATTATTCTGACAATCCAAAATATGTTTTGGCTTTAAGTAACTCACAAAGGGTTGGTAACCAGTAAAATAAATCAAAAACCCTAGTAACTCTAAAATACAGAGTGAGATGGGTAAATTGTCGCTATTTTATTTTATTTTTAATTTCGCGCATGCGCATTGTTTTTGATTTTCTTGACTGCACAGTATAGTAGGGTCAGTTGGGCACCGTCTGTGACAAATAGAGCACCATGATGCAATTCACTTCGCTAGAAATTTGGAAACGACATGCTGTACCGCTTGGCATTCAATATGAACATTTCAGAGTGTTTGGGTGTCAATCTGAGGATAGAGCAGAGTATTAGGAAAGAGTCAGTCACGTGTCCATAATATCCATGAAGATAGAGAAAAATAACATGAAAAATAAATATGGTACTTTATTATTCGGACTATTGTCCTCATCTTTGTACCCATGTTTATCACAACGTTTCGGCCATTGTACGCTCCGGCCTTCTTCAGGTGGTTGGACTGTCGAAATGAACCCTTTATTTCGCTCACTGGGGTAGACTGTTCTAGTTCCACGTACCATGTCGAATGGATGTCAGTTATCTCCTGTTAAATTCCTCTCTGAAAGTTCTCCACTGCCTTAACCAGGTATTGAACTCACACTCTTTGGTTCCTGTCACTGGATCTAACTAACACCTTTATCCACTGTGCCATGTGTCCTCATCTCAGAAATATAGACAGATAATAAATATGACAGTCGTACCTATCCCTAGAGTACTCGGAACTGTCACAAATAGGCTTGCAAAATATATAGAAGAAAGTATCATGAAAACAGCATTAATAAAATCAGCTAGAATACTGAGGAGAGTACTGGAAAGCTGAAAGACTTGCTGTCACTTGATCTCAAGCAAAAACTCTCAGTTACACTTGATGTAAAAATCTAATAGGTAGTAGCAGTAGTAGTAGTAGTAATAGTAATCTAATGAAAACATCATTAAATTATTAATTGCCTTTGTATATTGTTTCTCTGCAAAATTTGGAAGGTCAGTCGTAGACAGAGAGTCTGCCGTTTTTCTCAAATGATCGCTTGCCTTTCTCTTCCTTTTTTTGTCGGCTTGCCTGGCTCCATATCGATAAACAGTCCAGTGAGATTCGTTGCAATTAACGCAAACATTATGGCCACGTTGACTTATCTAAATACGGCCCGAGCAGTCTTACGACGGCTGTTTGACTCCGTCGTTTGTTTATACAAAACACAAATCAGTTAAGATGGCTGTAATAGACGACGAGCGATGCCAGTCGGCTATTTTCGTTATTGAGCCTTTTACCAACACTTTCGTTTTATGCATTTGTTGTCATCTTCGTTTTTTTTTTAGTTTTCGTTTTTTTTTTTTTTTTAATTTCCTTCCTTCTTTCCTTCCTGGAATATTTCTTTTGTTTTTTGTTGTTTTTTTTGTATTCTCCAACCAAATTTGACAGGAAAATAGTGTCAAAGGCATTTGATTCCAAAATACTGAAGCAAGTTTACGGTTTCTTTTTATTTATTTATTTTTTTTTTTCGCATTATTTAATATATTAGCTGAGTAGTGTAGCGTGTCAGATCAAATGACAGTTCTGTGTAGAACACAGGTTCGATTCCTTTCGGAGGACATATATTTTCTACAAAATTTCCCGGATATTCAAGCCGGTAAATGTAATTAATACTGTTTATTATAAACAGACCATTTACTTAAATAATAGTACCTTTAAAATAACATATAAACAGAAAATATATTAAAATAATTCTCGAACTTAGTCCATTTCATTACATAGAGACCCGTCTGCTAGGGAGCAAGACAATCCCTATTGCAGACGCTTGCTCAGGCACATTTGTCTCTGTCAACACCCACAGAGCCCACCTGTGGTTTATACTGCAACTATGCTGAGCAGACCTTACTTACATTTTCGGGGAGAGAGCATGTTATCTAGCGTGATTAACAATCTGATCAAGGCCTGCATGCTCAAACCCTCGATCACGATGACTTGTGACTTCCATGCTATCAACGTCTCAAAAAAAAATGTAGTGTATCAGTTTACGTGCTCGTTCAGACATTGTATCTCTGATGCTAATAATAAACCCCCTACATATATTGGTTTTACTACAACCACGCTCGCCCGTAGACATACTTGTCACCTTTCTGATCTTAGTTCTATTAAACAACATTTCTTAGGAAAACAAAGCCATGTACATAATATTAGACAGTTGATTAGTTGATAACACAATAATATTCACACATACACACAGTAAAAAAGAACCTTCAGATATTGGAGGCGATCTACATTAAAACAAAGCAAGCCACATTCAACAAAGTTACATTTCAAACTAGTCACAATACATTACACTGCATCTAGACATTGGTTCTGTTGTAATACTTCGGTATATCGCGCGGCATGACGTCATAGAACCTTCTTTATAATATCTTTATCTGTGTAACCAATCTGAGGATGGCTCATGTGAGCCGAATGCTTAAGACCAACTTAATAAAACATCCAAATGTTGGACAATTTTTGTCTTTATTTTCACCCGAAATTAAAGCAAACATTTGAACATTAGAACGGCTCAGGATCAGACATAATAGACATTCATTGTGTCTGTTATATGTTATATTTATATATATATATATATATATATATATATATATATATCAAGCGCATCCCTTTAGTAAACATTTTTTTCAACCCCGCTCCCCCTCCACTATTCCAGATAATCAAAAGTCGCTAGAAAATACTACATCTCAAACCAGACCTAAAAATTTTGTTTGAGGAACCCGGCCTTCTAGTATATCGTAGACCTAAGAACCTTAAGGAAATTATAGATAGTAACTACTTTTCAGAGGATAAGGTAATCCGTAATAAACCAAAAATAAAAACAACAGGATTTTCCCAACCATGTAACAATAAAAGGAGCTTATGCTGTAACCACATTACACACACCAATTCGTTCACTAGCTCAGTCATTAAATCTACTTTCAAAATCTACCACGACTCTAACTGTAGAAGTCATAACATAATTTACCCCCTAGAATGCACACTATGCCAGAAACAATATGTAGGAAAATCTGAATGGGCCTTTTACTACAGAATTAATAATTATCGTAATCGAATTAAGTCGGCTCCACACGAAAGATCAAAAAACTGTAGAACAACATTTCCGCCTAGAAAAACAAGATTTTAGAAGCCATGCCAAATTCACTATAATTGAAAAAAAAAAATAGAAAAGTACAGAAAAGATAACATTAGAAGGACCATGAAGACAAATGGATTTTGCGCCTCAAAATACATCATCCAAATGGGCTTAATCACAAATCTAACACCATAGATACAATTAATATATATCACCATAATCAAGCTCTACTCACATTTCTCACCCACACGACAGACATGCTTGCGGAGGTAGTGAGGTCTCACACTTATACACGCAGCCATACTAATATATACATTTACACACATCATACACACCCCGGAAGAACTAAATGATAACATACACTTAACACAAACATATCCTCTTCCCAGGAACAAATAAAACTGTCAAAATGGCCAAGGGAATTCGGAGTCGCACGAGTCTATCCAAAATCAATCTTAAAAACAACTTAAAAGAGGCCGTTTGACCAACACAAGGAGTGACCAAAATTAATGATCAAAAATC